ACACACACACACTCTCACACACACACACACACACTCTCACACACACACACACACACACACACACACACACACACACACACACACACACACATAGGTGTGGTAGGTATAATAGCTGTGGCTTTAGGGTTGTTATCTAAAGCTCTCCGGGGAACACAGAGACTCTCTCATGTAACATGGAATGGGTCATAACTGTGTGCTTTTTGAGAATGGTTATAAATGCATGTTTTAATTCTTAATGTCTGTCTGAAGAACAGTTGTGTGTTGTATGTATGATGGGATCCAGCTGTTACAGCATAAATAACATTTCCTAAATACTAGTTAAGTGCTCAGATCTGAGGTGAGGACAATACTGTGCTCTTATGTGCTCATTTTCAACTTAAAGGAGTTATAACATATGTATTTTATTATTATCATATATCATTGTTACTATTATATATTATTTTAAATGTATTTTATATTATATATAATATATTATACATTATATATATTACTTTGAAAATAATATTATGATTGTCTGTCTATCTATCTGTCTGTCTGTCTGTCTGTCTGTCTGTCTGTCTGTCTGTCTGTCTGTCTGTCTGTCTGTCTGTCTGTCTGTCTGTCTGTCTGTCTGTCTGTCTGTCTGTCTGTCTGTCTGTCTGTCTGTCTGTCTGTCTGTCTGTCTGTCTGTCTGTCTGTCTGTCTGTCTGTCTGTCTGTCTGTCTGTCTGTCTGTCTGTCTGTCTGTCTGTCTGTCTGTCTGTCTGTCTGTCTGTCTGTCTGTCTGTCTGTCTATCTATCTATCTATCTCAGGTAGCTGATAGAGTTGGTTGTACCTGAGGTGGACACACACACCTGAGCGAGCGACAGATAGACAGAGAGAGAGATGTACACAGTGGTCCTGCTCTCCTCCTCTCTGTTTCTCCTGCATGTGACCTGCACGCCTCAGATTCACGGTCACCACGGGTAAATACACACGCAGTTTGTCTGCAGTGTCGGGGAATGTCAATTCTCATGCTCTAAGGTCTCAGGGGTCAGGGGTGAATATAAGGTTAAAGGTCAACGCATATAATAGCAGCTAACTACATCAGACTGTCATGTCCAGTTAGAACTGATGGACAGCAAGTTTTTGATACAAAAATAACCATGCAATTGTCTTTCCCAGCATTGTATGTAACACGCACACACAGATAAACACATAATAATAAAGTTATATATTATTATTATAGTTATATATTATTTATTAAAAACAATATAATTTATATAAATACAAGATTAATTAAAAAAATTTAAATAATTTAAATTTCAGAGTCAAGATGTGATATGAAGACATTTAAAATGTTACAAAAGATTTCTACTTCAAATAAATGCTGTTCCTTTGAACTTTCTATTCACAAAAAAAAATCACAGTTTCCACATGAATATTAATCAGCATAACTGTTTTCAACATAGATAATAATAATAAATGTTTGTTGAGCAGCAAATCAGCATATTAGAAGGATTTCTGAAGGATCATGTGACACTGAAGACTGGAGTAATGATGCTGAAAATTCAGCTTTGCATCACACGAATAAATTACATTTTAAAATATATTCAAATACAAAACTGTTATTTTAAACTGTAATAATATTCCACAATCTTACTGTTTTACTATATTTTTGATAAAATAAATGCAGCCTTGGTGAATATAAAAGTCATCTTTCAAAAGCAAAACGTCTATATTATAGTGAATTATATACAGTATAAGCAGTATTTGTGTTTGTGTATAATTGTGTGTCTGTGTGTGTGTTTCAGGAGGAGAGTGTGTGTTGGAGATGCTTGGAGTCGTCGTGTGTCTTACAGCACAGAGTCGTTTCTTCAGCCCGTACACAAACCCTACATCACCATGTGCCAAAACCACCGCATGTGTAGCACGTACAAGTAAGAACACAAAAACAAATGAACATACACATTACACTGCATAATGTATCAGCGTTTCACTGGACTGTATGTTTTACAGGACAATCTACAGGGTTTCTTACAGGCAGGTGAGCAGAGCAGCTCCTAATTTACACATTTACCCAGAATGCTGTCCGGGATGGCGACGTATGCATTCACACAACTGTAACCGAGGTAAACGGACGTCATACTGCTTGAATATGAACATGAGCTCTGAATGTGGATTTATACCTGCATGTGTATGTGTGTGTATTTACATATGTCTCTCTCTCTCTCTAGTGGTGTGTGAGCAGTCTTGTGCAAATGGAGGCTCGTGTGTAAGGCCTAATCACTGTACATGTCCGAGAGGATGGACGGGACGATACTGCCAAACAGGTACTCAAAAACACACACTAATGTTCATTTAATGTTATGCTATGTTCATATATATATATATATATATATATACAGTATATATATACATACATACACACACACACACACATTTAATTTAAAATTAAATTTTAATTATATAAAATTATAATACATTTATAATAATTTCACAATTCTACAAATATGTTAACATAAATATATAATTATAAAAAGCTGTGAAAAGGTGGTTTGGAGGGGTGGAAAGTGGTCATGAAAAGCTTAATTTTGTACTAACGTAAATGGGCTTTAGGGGAAAAAGACTTTTTATGAATCTATTTAAGATTTTATAATAACATTTTTTAAAGACTTTCAAAAGACGTCTTTCTCTCTCAGATGTGGATGAGTGTAAGGAAGGTCATCGCTGCTCACAGAAGTGTGTGAATACGGTGGGGAGTTATCGGTGTGTGTGTCAGGATGGATTCAGTCTGGCTGAAGATGAAATAACATGTTCAAGAATTCCTGCTCCCTCCCCGCTGCCCGCCGGGGCTCCAAAAGCAGACGATCGCTCATCCAGAAGCCATGCTGGTAAGATATGTATACATTATCATCAGCCGCAGACATACTGATGCAGAGACCCATCATCCACACTGCCTTAACAAACTCAAACTATAACATTTTATTTTTTGCAAATGAATTCATTTGAATGAGATTTATTTTACTTTTAAATATATAATTGTATTTACAATATATATATACATTTTATATACATTTAAATTATTTTAAATCATTAAAGCATAAGATTATAGAACAAGTTTGTCCAATTATAACATTTTATTTTTAATAATTAATTCATTTTTAATTATATTTATTGTTTTATTTTATATTTAACTATATATTTAAATATATATTCATAAATATATTTTTATTTAAGTATAATTATATTTATATACATATATTTCATATTTTAATTAAAAGCATTAAAGCTTAAGTCTATAAAACAAGTTTTTCCAAACTTGTTAGCGAAAATGTATAGGCTATGTTGCACCCTAGCTGGCTTATTTCTAATACACACTACAATTAGATACTTTGTTTGTGACAATATCAGGACATAAATTACATACTTTTAAGTATGCAATCATTGGGACACATTATATGCACATTATACACATTGTAATAATACCACAGATCCCCTGTTTGCATAGATCTGAATGCATTAGCCTATAATTCATCATAAGTTCATACATTTATAAACGGCTGTGGCAGTTTTGGTCCCACATTCCTGACCACGTTTCTGCAGCTGAAAGTGTGGGAAGAGGACGCTCTCAGATTCCCGCTTTTCCATTGCACAAGGCATTGTGGGCAATATTAACCCAAAAAGCATGCATAGATGCATACTTCACAAATCCACTGGAAATCCCAGCACTTTTTATATACTGCTTTCAAATGAATAGAGACACGATAACTTTAGATACAACTTCAGATGAATAGTACATAAAAAAACACAAAAGCAAAAATGGTATTAAGTGGTAATACATTACAGCGTCAGACATGTGTGATTGTGGGTAAGTGCGGGCTTTTATACGGCGGTATACAAGTGTGTTTCCCCTCTAGCGCCCCCTGCAGGTGGAGCCCTGACCAGCCTCACGGTTCATTATTACTTTTGGTACGCGCTATGCCACTCTCAACTCGTACCGTGAGTAATAGTGCACTGTGACTGGTGACCTCAGCGACAACATACAGACCAACCACCAAACCTGGCTGAAAAACCACCTCAAAACCACAATATCAGACCACCTGAACATCCAGCAGCTCATTCAACAGTGGCACGTGGGTTCTTTGTTAAGAGCATAATATCACTCCACAGATCTTGACAATAGCCCCCAACCCCCAGATTTTTACCTGTCCTTTTTATACACATTTGTAATATTTTAGTAGTGTTATTTTAATTAATTCTATATATTGCAGTAAAAAAAAAAAATTTTTTTTTTACATAAAACAAATATTTAATTATTATTAAATTATAAATACCATAAATAAATAAATAATAAAAAATTTAATGTAATTATGACAACTACACTTTTGCTTGAAAATTTTATATTACAGTTGTTATCATATTTAATATTATTTATTATTTTAATATTATTAAAAGTCATTAATATTTTGAATTAATTCTAATTTAATTTTAAGTTTTCATTTTAATTTGAGTTTATTTTATTGTCATTTTGCTTTTGTCATTATCATTATTATTATTAATTTAAATATTACTATTTAGGTTTAATTTATTATTCTTTCAGTTTTAGTTTTAGTTAGTCTATACAACAACTAAACCTTTGCTTGAAAATGACAGCATGCAGAACAAGTTTTATTTTAATATTGTCATATATGTATGTTATTAATATTTTGAATTAGCTTACATTTTTTATATATTTTTTTAATTTTTAAACATTTTAATTAAAAAACAGTTTAATAAAATTTTTTATTATTTAGTTTTGTGCATTACTATTTAGATTTAATTTTTATTTCCATTTTCATTTGACTTAATCTGACAATGAAACCTTTGCTTGAAAATTATTTTAATGATTATTATAATATATATTATATTTATTATAGTCATTATAAATATTTTCAATTGTTTAATTTTTTATATTTTCAGTTTTCATTTTAAGTTTAGTTTATCTCTCTCTCTCTTTTTTCTGTCTGTCTGTCTATCTATCTATCTATCTATCTATATCTACTTTTAAAAAAATATTACTCTTTAGGTTTCATTTCTTTTTAAGTGCTAGTTTTAGTTTTTTTTTCCAGTTAGTAATTTTAGAGCTTTAACTTAAACATATTTCAGTCAGTTGCCAAGACAAGATGTCAAAGTTTAGTTGAGTTTTTAACATAATATTAATATTTTAATTCAGCTTCATTTCAATTAACAAAAATGTTTTTAATAGTTTTCTATTAAACTTATTTTTAACTATAACAACCCTGTGCAGAACGAAATATTACTGATGTGCTTATAATTGTCAGCCTAGTGACGTTTCTTTCATCTGAGAACCGTCTAGAGTCCCTATGAGAACTGCTGAGCATTCTCCTCTCTGCTCGTCTGTCTCTCAGCTTTGCCAAAACTAGCTTGTGTCTATACGGCTGTTGGCAGCATCTCACTCCTCTCCTCTCTTTTCCTTTGTTTCTTCATTTTTTCTTTCCCTACACTTTTTCATATCTGTCTGTGATTTAAAAATAACAGAATCTCCTCTGGCCCTAGATAGTCATGTTGCCTAGCGACAGGCTAAAATAATCACCACTCGTTCTGATTGTTGGCCGGAGCTCAAACACACATTCCTGGAGTTTGTACAAGAGAGCAGCACATTTCCAAATCTGAGCAATAATGTCTGAATCCACGCTAGTAGTAAAGTCATGGACATGTGAATCTAGGTTTGTTGAAACATCAATGATCATAGGAAATACACTTCAAAGAAAACCTCTAAGTGCACTAGTTTCTCTGTTCCCACACTAGTGTTGTTGAGTTTGACCTGGAGTCACACACTTCAGCATCTGTCTGTGGGACGTCCGCTGGGACTGAAGGTGCGAGATCAGATTACTCTAACCTGTCATGACCAGCTAGAGTAGTAACCAGTCTACACCGAATACTTTATCTGCTACAGTTACTGTTGCTACAGTAAAAAAAAGAATCAAAGTTAAATTAATTAAGATTAATGTAAAAAAGTAATAAAACATTATTTAAACTATTTATTAAAATAATATGAGATGTCTTTTAAATTGTAAGCTTTTTATTTTATCTATTTTATTATTTCATTGATGGCGGTGGTAGCTAATGCCAAATTACTTTCAACAAACCTCCAGATGTGAGCTATTTACTCTAAACCTGCCTTCTAGTTCTTTTACAAACATTTACTATAGTTACAATGGTTTACATTAACTGTTATTTGCAACAGTTACCGTTACTACAGTAAAAAAAATTAGATTAATGTAAATATTAAAAAATATTAATTATTTAAAATATTTAATAAAATAATATGTGTAAGCTTTTTTTTTTGGGATGACACTTGTAGCCTACACTTGTAGAAGCTCATTTTATTCAGTTTACACCAAATATTTTATTTGCTAGTTACTGTTGCAGTAAAAAGAGAGAGAGAGAATTAAATGGAAAAAAAATGAATGTAAACATTAAATTAACTGAATGAAAATATGAATTAAAGAAATTAAAATTAAAACTGGTTTTTTTTTATATAGTTTTCAGTCCATTGTTGGACTGAACTTGCTGATTTTGCACATTTAACTGGAATAAGACAGGATTTTAACTGAAAAAAATGACATTCTTTCTCTTTAAGTAAATTGTTTAAATCTAAAGGAACATAGAATGATATGGAGAGAGAGAGAGAGAGAGAGAGAGCATTGCTCTTTGCCCTTATCTCTAGTTGTAATGTCATTCTGACCACATAAATGAATGCTCTGTTGAGTTCATGGGGCTTAAATCCCCTGAAACCTTTATAACTACATTAGTGTCATCAGATAGAAGAACAGGAAGTTGAATGTTTAGTTATATGATGATGTGATTTTGCATGCAGAGGCCACCGCCGGACACGATTTGTAGCTGTTGTTCCCGTTTTGGTTTTGACTCGATCCAAAGCTCACATTGCAGATCTATCCAACTCAGACTGCTGGGGGTCACTGCGTTCCCTCACACAAATCACACACACACACACACACACAGTGGCTCTCGCTCGCTCCCAAGTGTCTTCATGACACCACACATCTGGGACAGATTGACTGAGTTTCAGGGTGTGTGTGTGTGTGTGTTTCTGTTGAAGCAGCCGAATCAAACACTGTGCGAGTGTGTGTGTGTGTGTGTGTGCGTGTGTGCGACCCATTGACTAGTTTTTAGACTGTTAGAGCTCACAACCCAAAACATTCTGAGTAACTGCCAAGGGGCGGGACTTACTGGGCTGAGCTCTAATATGATTGGGTCTCAATCACATTAATTTACAAAACAACCAATCACAGTCAGCGGTTATTCTTTTACTAAAACTTGTGATGAAATATGACCTGATTTCATGTAGAGTGGGGTGCAAAAGTCTGAGAACAGTTTTTTTTTTTCATTTTAACCTGGAAATATACAAAGTTGTTGGTTTTTTAATCATTTTAAGCAAAGAAACATGACATAACATGAAGAAATGTTTCAGATTTTGTACTCTTTCTAGGTCACAGTAAGGAAATTAGTGACGCGACACTTTACGATCAGATGTTCCTGTTTCCACTGAAGCACAAGATGTTCTTTTAGACAATTCACACTGAAGAATCAGATTTTGATCATCAGGTTTGTTAATGTCACCTTGAGTGCTGCTGTTATTAAAGCAATAATATTTAATAAATACATATTTAATAAATTGTTGAATAATTAAAAAATAAAATACATTAATAAATCAAATAATTATCTAAAATAATCTGATAATTAAATAAATAAATAAATTGCATTATTTTCAATAAATAAATAATTGAAAATAAATAAAATATATTAATAAATATTTTAAATAAATAATTTAATAAATTAATAAATACATAATTTACTCAAATAATTGAATGAACAAAAGCATTATTTCTTTAATAAATATAAAATAATTTAATTAGTTTTAAATTTTCTATGCAGTTAATAAAATTTGTATTTTTCCAATAAATAAATACAAAGAACAAAAATTTTCACTAGTGGTCTCAGACATTTGGAAGTGCATATCAAAGTATTTGCATCATATTCTTGCCAAACCTCAAACTTCCCCCCTTTATCACCCCCTCCACTCATTTCATTCTCTCTCTTTCTATTTCAATTTATGTCTGTCTTTTTATTCATCTGTGCTCTTTGGTCTGCTCTGGGATCGCTTTGGATATTAATCATGGATTCATGAAAGCAGAGAACATGCAGAAATATAACGTAAAACAACAGTGCTTTCTGGAAGTCGTACAAAAGCTCGCAGTCAGTTTGTGTTTTTGAATCTTGCCCGAATAAATGCATTATTTATGTTCAAAGCCTGGATCTTAAAACGTTAAAAATAGAGTTGTGCGCTGCATTACAGGTTTTAATTAAGGCTGAATGTCGGTGTGTGTGTGTGTGTGTGTGTGTGTGGTCCGTCTCTGATTTCTGTGTGTATTTCTTTTGTTCTTAAAGGTGGAGGTTTGGGATTGGTGGCAAACGTTACCGAAGAAGTTCAGATCCTTAAAAACAGAGTGGAGCTCCTCGAGCAGGTCAGACACACACACACACACACACACACACACCCTCAGGACACATCCTACTTCAAAACGACGGGAAACTGTAGTGCGTTTGCCAAAACAGCTTATTGGTTCAAAGACTTGCTAATAGTTTAATTAAAAGCAGTAGTCAAGCGCACACATCACAGGCTCTGAAACATTAAACACAGGCAGATACAGGTGACCATTAACCGGCTTTGCGGTTTGCAGATATTTCTGGTAAATAACAACTAACACTTACTACACACACTCATTACCTCACACAATTTAAACAGAAACAAAACAATACTAGCTTACTGTAGAATATGCACTGTACAAACTGCCTATAATTTCAATTAAATAAGAGTGTGATGGTGTGCAGTGTTATTTTACCATCACTGATATACTTTATAGTTTATATTATAGTTATAGTTTATAGATATATTATAGTTTTTGTTAATGTTTTGAATTAGATTTTATTTTTATATTTTCTGTTTTCATTAGAATTTTAGTTGAAGGTTTAGTAATATGGTTGTTTTTTCCCCTTTTTATTAGTGTTTTTTTAATAGGTCTATATAGGTTTTATTCATTTTTATTTATTCACTTTAGTTCAATTTAATTTTAGTTATTTAAGTACTTCAAGTTATTGTTATTATTAAACTAAAACCCATTTAAAAAAATGTTATTTCAAATAAATATATATTTTTAATAGTTTTAACTAACTATAATAACCCTGGCAGTATGTAAGGATAAAACAGTAGTGTGCATAATAAATTCCATGTTCATGTTCAGAATATGTATTTCTTTTTATGGTTTATGTTAATTCATTTAAAAGCCCTGCAGTGCACTTGCATATTTTGGCGATTGTAGCATGTCATCCATGCATACAGAAAATCTGTGCTACACTATACATACTACAGACTGCAAAAATAGCATGAGTAGTATAGTAGTATGCTGTTCTAAACATATCCTACTTTATAATAAGGACTCATTCATTAACAGTTAACAAACCAACAATGAGCAGAATCTTTTTTTACAGCATTTATTCATCTTTAAGTTATTAAAAATACAATTATTCATGCACGTTCACAGTGCATTAACAACTTTTGATTTTAAAAATGAATTGGTAAATGTTAACATTAAGATGAATCAATGCTGTAGAAGTATTGTTAATTGTTAGTGTATGTTAATTACAGTAAGAACTACTGTATTAAACCTTATTCTCATATTTGCCATTTGTAAAGTCACAAATTCAGTGTCCCCAAATGTAAAAATACCTTCCTCTCTCTCTCTCTCTGTAGAAACTAGAGATGGTTCTGGCTCCCTTCACCACGCTCTTTCCCTTGGATGGTGTGGGAGACACTAACAGCTTCCTGCCTGAGAGGACCAACTTCCTGTCGCACTCTCTGCAGCAACTAGACCGCATCGACTCGCTCAGTGAGCAGGTCGGGTTCCTGGAGGAGCGTATCGGAGCCTGTAAGCATATATTTATGTGTATGAAATTTATCTGTACAATCTGTTTCAACTGATAAAATAACAGAAACATCTTTATTAGGTGCCTGCCAGGAAAACTAGACAATCAAAGATGGGCTGCATCCTCAAGTGAAACCAATATCTGAGAAGTCTAAATGAACAACCGCAGCACTGAGGGCCTGAACCCTGTAAACATGTTCAATCCACTCAAAAAACATATAGGAAAACACAATATCAAACACACAAACTCCTTTTGGCCAAAATGGAGTTTTCTGGCCCATGAGCTGGAGCTTTGATTGTTTCGTAATGTTTTTCAGTGTATTGCTTTCATTTAATTCTTGGTGTAAGTGCAGCTGTATGGTCTCTCCATGTTTAAGTCTGAGTTAAGAGAAATGTAAATTTATGTATTTATAAGTCCATGTTCTTCTCCTGAGTATTGCTATTGGGAAAACAATACAAAATTGTATCACTTTTTTAAACATTGTTATGTTTCAATTTTTGTAATAAAACTGCTTAAACTTCGAATGTTTCTGGAGTTTGTGGTTTCGGAAGATTACAATTTATACAAAATTGAATATCTGTGGTTTATATTATCTGTAGTTTGGAGAAAAATAATGTTCCAGAAGAAAACCTGTTTTGACTATGGAGCTACAATAGTTTATTGCATTATTAATATGCAAATTAATGCATTTACAAAATATGCAAACAGAAATTCAAAAACTCAACTTAACTGTTTGCAAATATATAAACTTGTTAGGGTTAGGGAATGTGAATTGAGCATTTGTGAATCATATTTTGTAACTAGGGTTGTGACGGTGAGGACATTTTCCCACCGGTTAATCGACGTGTGACAGTATGTGACGGTATCACCTGCGGGGGCGTTTCCTCTTTTCCTTCGCTTTTAAATAGCTTGCAGAAGCGCCGTGCGCATTTTACTTTCACTTTCAAATAGCGACAATTCGGCATCAATTGCTTGAATGCAACAACAAAATACAACTTCAAACTCACTTTAGCCTATACATAAAACGTAGAACTTTTATTAACAAAACGAATAAAAATACACCATGCTATAGGGCAGGCTATGCCTAATATAAAATAACAAATAACTTACATAAAGTTTAAATAGGTAGCCTATACAAAATTGGAAATAAGTAAACATGTACAATATAACCAAATAAATAAGAAACGTAGAAAGTTTATTAGCAAAACGAATAAGAAAGCTTGGAGGCACGGCAAACACCTTGATATAAAATAAAATACATAAATTACACAAAGTTTAAATAAAGTAAAAATCAGCAAACACTGTGGAACCAATTAAATAAGAAACGAATGTTTAAAAAAACTTCCAAAATCACCTTAGATAAACGGCAAAAGTCAACAGGCTTTTCAAAATCCAAAATACTGCCAAAAAGGCGCTTTTGCATTTCGTTTCGAAACTAAGTCTTGTCTGTCTCACCTCACTCTTCTTGTCAGTCAGCTCGACTCACTCTCCTCACTGGAGAAATGAAATCTGATCTGTGATGCGTCTGTCGTTCGGCACGCTGCATTGAGCAGCCGCGTTCAGTTTTTAATTGTAGTGTCTGTTCTTTTACTGAACTAAATGATTTTTATTACTATAAAAAATCAAAACGACGGTGGGGGTCGGTGCCGCGGTGGGCAAGTGACGTAACCGGTGTTGCGGCTTAACACCAGTATCACCGTCAGCACCGTCTATCGCGGCAAGCCTATTTGTAACTTGATTAATTAAGCCAAATATGCAAATATTCAAACAAATTTACATTCACCAAATATTTTTGTGCATTTCAAAAGTGCATTTTGTAAATATAAATAAGGTTATGAATTTTAGGAATTTACTGTTTGCAAATATAAAATCTTTTATTCGTGAAAGTGAATAAGCCAAGTATGAAAATGCACAACAAAATTTACATTCACACAATATTTCTGTGCATTTGCAAATCATATTTTGTGAATATGAATTAGATGAAGTAGAAGTCTGAGAGTTGCTTTTTGGAACTATATTAACTTTTTTGTGAATGTGAATTAACTTTCACATTTGTCAATAACATTTTGTTAATACATGAATTCTGATACTATTTTAGCTCCATACTTTAAGTGTGAATTGGAACATCTTCAAATGCATAATATTTATCTATTTGTGTGTGTATATATATATAAAATTCCAAAAAAGTAATGTTTACTTTTGGGTAAAGGATCTGAGTAGGTCTACAGTCAGTATAATTGTGTGTGTGTGGGGGTATACAATTCTATATTTATATTTTTAATTCCAACACAAATAAAATGCACATCTAAAAATGCAAATATTTTTCTTTTAGGTTTTGGGTTTGTCTGTAGTAATCGTACGGTATGGTTTACGGTACGGTTTAGATTAGGCCAAGTAAATGTGTGTGTGTGTAAAAAAAAAAAAAAAAACGAAATATAAATTGATAGACAGACAACAAAGGTCAAGAACAAATTCTACCATTCCTATTGGAAAAACAGATGATTTATTGACTCTTTCTCCTAGATGTTCTTAACACAGGTTGCATCCAGAATCTACCACAATCAACATGTTTATGTATAATCATCGTCTTATATGACTTTACAGATTTTACAATGGGCTTTAACTCATTTGTGTGTCAGGTCACCATACAAACACATTCAGCACACACAATGGACACACACTCATACACACACATACACAAGGCTGCCCGTGAAATGTCTGACAGGTTCGTCTAACGGATCTTATAATCAGAGCGTTTACAAGCTTCACCTGTTGTAAATCCTTAATAGCTTTGGTGAAAATCACACAACACCTTGTACACACCGTTTCGTGAACGCAGCACGGTTTTCAGTCGGCAGGGCAAAACTGACATTGAAAACAGGGCTTATAAAATCTGTGACTGAATACACAACATAAAAGGGGGGTTCAAAAATTGCATTGGTGTTTAAATTTGTACTAAATAATAATAACAACAACAGGGCCTTATTTGGACATTTAGCAAAAACCAAACTGAACATTCGTTCAAAGCAAAATGTCTCTCAGCTCAACAAGCCATTATAATGTGATACGTACAATTCAGTCCTCTTAAATAATATTGTACATATTAAATTAAGGATGTTATACATTCTTAACAAACAATAAGAACTGCAACATCAAGCATTAAATATAAGATTCAACAATGCAATGCGATTAGAAATGTCTTTGAAAGTAATTACAAATATTCATCTTAATTTACTGCCATAAGCGGTCAATACAGTCTGGTTTAATAAATATGTGTTAAATAATTGATCATTTTAAGATTAAATTGTGAATGTCATTTTCAAATATTTAAATATATCTATTTTTATATGGATTTCCTTAGTTAAACTTAAGGTTGAGGATAAAGTTTAATACCTGATCTATGAGCAGCCCTCAAAAATAAGCGCATGACCATTTTATGATCATCTTTCCATGTCTCATGTCAACATCCACTTAAAAATATTACAAACCTCAGCAATTTACTATATAATAATTCCAAGGGACAATTTTACAGCAGGTTTTGAAAATAAATTGTAAATGTAAAATAAATTGATTTTTGAGTTTGTTCTTCAAAATCTGAATAATAATGGCTCTTAAACACATTTTATTTAAACTGGCTGCTTAGATAACGCCATAGTCTATATGTAATGTGTTAGATAATTATTTTTTCGATTAGTTATTATAATAATAATTCCCTTGTAAATGGTTTTTAGTTTTAACAAAAAGGATTGAACAATATTAAATAAATTTTGTAGCCTGAAAACAAACCAAAACAGGAAAGGAGCAAAGCACTGAACTAAAGTCAACTGGAACGTATTTCTCTCCTAAACGCTAATCAAACAATCCTGATCACAGATCAATTATCAATAGTGTTTTCCACAATATTCTACCTTTATACGCAGCCAGCGGCTGCGACTCTTTGGACACTTGGCACAGGAAGAAGCCGCACTTGATAACGGTGACAATGGAAATATTCGTTACAAACTAAACCTTTAAATGGCAAAAATGAAACAGAACTAATAGTCAGCGCACAATCTGTTTGCGTTTTCTGAATCCTTGGTTGACACCACACAAAAAGCTTTACTCTGGAATGTATAGGACATTTCCAAATCAATCTTTTTGGTCAATAAATCAATAAATCAAAGTTATATAAAACAATAAAGGGGCGTATTTAAAGAAAAATACTCTTGCATAAGACTTGCATACGAAAACAAACAACAACAAAAATGACAGAAGTAAAACGAATTGTAAGTCTGTCACTGATTTTCCATAATGCAAGCAAAGTACCTCGAGAAAAAGCAGCCTACACAAATGAACGAAACGAGTCTTTGTAGATCACTGAAAGGAAGAGAAACATAGAAAAGGCATGCATGTCGAACGCACATCCACAATGTTCTCAGGAAGTCGCTCCAAAACTCAACAAAGCAGTTCGAGCCGAACCAACATCAAAGAGGACACAGTTAAAGCATCACGCCAGAAAAAACCCGCCGTTCCGCCGCTTAGCGCCCCCCTGGAGTCCAACGGGAGATCAAAACTAGGCTAAGATAACATCTGCTGTATGTACTGTAGTCAAGGTGAATGTATGGACATGTGTTCCTGCTTCATGAGGACGTCGGAGAGGATACTAAAGCGCCTGGTTGTCATGATTACCACCACCACAACCACAACGACATAGTCTCAAGCCATCCTTGTTGTCGGGGCGAATGAAAGGGCGCTCAGTGGGTGGATGGCCCGTTGCTCTGCGAGGTTTGGCCGGAGATCTCCAGGAAGGCTGAACGCATGACGCTGAACGATTGCTCGGAGAGCGGCGTCACATCATCTGCCGTCAGTCCCTTTGTCTCGATCTTTGGAAGGATTTTCAGAGTGATGGTTCCTGTTTGAAGAAATGCAGAAATGTTTATTATAACTATAATCGTCATCATCATCATCCTCATCAACAACACGCTCTAGTTTCTATGGAAGTTTGTTTCCACCACAGGATAATAAACAAATACATATATGGCGACTTTTTATCTAGGGCTGGGCGATATAGCTAAAAAATTTATCAACAATATAATGTTTCATATCGTTCGGTTTTGTTTTGTTTTTTCCCACCAAGGAATAAAAAAATAAAAAAAAGCAAATTGCAACTTTTTAATCTCACAATTTAGACTTTTCTTCTTTGGATTGCAAGTTTATATCTCACAATTATGACTTTCTCAGAACTGCAAGAAAAAAAGTCAAAATTGTGAGATATAAACTTGGAGTTGTGAGGGGAAAAAATGAAGAATTAATTTTTTGGCAGGACCAAGCTTTCTCTCAAGCACTAATACAACATCTTGCAATGCATTTCAAGGAATAGTTCATTAAACAATTCATAACATAATTCATAACGTCAACAATTGAATGTCTGATCCTCATACACTGTATGGTTTTAGAGAACTTTGAATATAGCATACAGACCATATGGGCTACTATTTCAATGTTTATTCATAAGCATAGAGGTTTAGAACGAAATGAAGATGAGTAATTGATGAAAGAATTTACTTGTTTTGGTGAACTATTCCTTTAATTTTGTTTCTCCATAACATATATTTGTAACATGCATCACCTGATTTGAACTCTTTCTCTTTTCGTAGGTAGAAGTTACTGTAGGAAGAGAAGACGATGGGTATGATGGGAACCTGAGAGAGAAAGAGAGAGAGCAGGATGGTTGGTGCAGCAGGGATTAGAAGCGCTCTCACACACAAAACTATGATCACACACAGACTGAACTATCCTCCCAGACTAATAATAGAGCCAGAGAGTCGCTGTTTCTCATGACGACACAGCTGGACAGTGTGTGTGAATGTATGCCAACCATCATTAATATCAAAAGATGTGACTCTAGGAATGCCACACAAAAATTAATACAAATAAATCAAATAATAATCTAACTTTTACTCATTTATTTAAAAAAATTTAAATAAACAAATGTAAATGGACATAAATATTTTAAAATGTTTAATTCATGTCTAAAAATTTAGTTGAATATAAAAATAAAATCATGCATTTTACATATAGAAATATACACATATAGTAAATAATAATAATATGAAAGAAACAACTACTAACTTATTTAAAAATTCTAAATAAATATAAATAGACCAATATTAAAAATTCTTGTTTAAAAATGTAGATTAATATAACAATAAAATAATTTTAAATATTAAATAGCATTTTGAAAGGTTAAAAATATTAATATCTGAAAATAGTTTACTTCATGTTTAAGATTGTAGTTAAATATAACAATAAATTATTAATTAATTTAGATATTAAACTGCTTTTTGAAAGGTAAAAAAAATTCTTGAATATATTTCTACATTTTACTTATGTATATATAAAAATAAAAGAAAAAAGAAAGAAAGAAAGAAATCAACTACCATTATAAAATTTTAAATAAATATAAAATGAATATAAATTGAAAACAAAAAGGTTTAAAATGGTTTAACTCATGTTTAAATGTAGTTAAATATAACAAAATTATGCATCAATAATTTTAAATTGCGTTTTGAAAGATTTTGTGTCTGTGTGTGTGTGTGTATATATACAGTGGGTACGGAAAGTATTCAGACCCCCTTAAATTTTTCACTCTGTTATATTGCAGCCATTTGCTAAAATCATTTAAGTTAATTTTTTTTCCTCATTAATGTACACACAGCACCCCATATTGACAGAAAAACACAGAATTGTTGACATTTTTGCAGATTTATTAAAAAAGAAAAACTGAAATATCACATGGTCCTTATATATATATATATATATATATATATATAGACAGGAAGCTTAAAAAAATGAAACCGGAAGTATTCAAGTAAAAAAAAAAACTGCCATGCATTTCACTGTTCTAATACAATCCAACTGGCATGTGTGATTGTGTATATTCACAAGCCACAAGAAAGAAAGAAAGAAATGCTGAAGGAATGTTTCATGCGGCTTTGGAAATGAGTTTGTGCAGATGCAGATCAAATGCACTAGTGTGAGTGTAAGTTTCTATGTGGCTGCGCTAAAACAACACAGGAGCTGAACACTAAATAATACAAGGAAGGACGGCTCCCTCTGCTGGTGAAGCAACACCACATGAGTAAAGAATCCGAATCAGAAAGAGCTTTATTACCAGGTATGTTCACACATACAAAGAATTTTTTTGTGACAGATGCTTCCACAGCACAAACAGATTACAGTGACAAGACACAGATAGTAAAAATAGAATATGTAAATAGGAAATAATAATATACAACAAATACACAATACACAAAAATAGACAATAGATGCTATTTGTGTGTACAAGTGTGTTATATAGAAATGCAAGGAAATGTGAATAAGACGTATGTGTGTGTTAAATAAATAAATGTATAAATAGTGTTGTGTATTACACGTTTATTGCCAAGTTAACTGTTCATGAGATGGACTGCCTGAGGGAATCCAGTCAGTCTCCCTTACGACCTCTGACCCGTGACACCAGTTTCATGGGTTAATGAGGGACCTTTGAGTTCAAGCTTGTTCTGGTTGTGCCAGGTAAACTACTAAAGCTGTGTACTTTGCACTTACAAGTCAGGTTACATCAGGTCAAGCGTAAGTGAAGGAGTCTAGGAGTAACACTCACCTGTGCTTGAATGGCCAGATGAAACGCTCCCTTTTTAAAAGGCAAAAGCCCGCCGTTCTGATTCCGTGTGCCTTCTGGAAACACCCACAATCGGATCTAAGGAAAGTTCAATGCAATCACAAAATGAGATTGTTTACAGCACCTCTTCTTTACAACATCCCTACATCAGCACTAAAGACTGATAGTATTACATCATGCGATATACAGTGGGTATAGAAAAGAATCCCCCCCTTTACAATAATCCCATTTTGTTGCTTTGCAGTAGGGCTGTGCGATATTGAAGAAAAATGCGATATGCGTTACATTGTTAAATAATGCAATATTCGATATGCGATACGATATTGCTTTAAGTGTGCAAAATCAATTTTAATTATTTTTTTTAAATATTTAAAAACGAAAATTATATAACCAATTTGTTTCACATTCTTTCTTGGAAAAGAATGCATCTCTACAACTTCTGAAAGTGACGAGCAGTGTTTTAGCAGTACATAAAAAGTAATGTCACAAATTAGAAAATGTCATTTTAACATCAATGTAAACAAAAACAAAAAAATTTATGTCACTTATTTTACATCAATGTAACTTTGTTTTTTGTTTATTACTTAAAGTACACTTTAAGTACTACTTCAATATCACAGTAAAAACTATAGCAAACATGATTAAAGGCAAGTGAACAGTCGGTAAAAAATAAGATCAAATACACAAATGACAAGCATAGTTAAATACAATATAACGGTTACAAATAAAATAAGGTCTAACAGTAGTATTCAGGTATAGAAATGTAATAATTAAGTGTAAGATACTGCATAGTGTTCCCTGTATGAATTAAATTTAGATTAATCTATGTTAAAGCTGTGTTTTGTTGTTTGATTAACATTAGTGACATATTCAGCAGCAGGTATTTATAGGCTGCTGTCCCTTTAAGACCGACTGCACAGATCCTGTATAATGATACACTGATTATAACTGATTGTGTTTACGAGAAAGATTGTGGAGATGTTGAACCACCTTTTAAAAGTATTAATTTGTTTTTTTTTTTAATCTTAGTGACAGCACACTTTTGAACGGTACTGTACGAGGACCTTGTCCTGATATGTTTGCCACGATTTTCTCTTCAAGATTCATGGGTAGTGTAGTCTTTCACCTGGAATTTGGCTCTTAAATACAACTTTTTAAAACTTTTCAAAAACTTTGTAAGTTAATGAAGAAAGTATGCTTCAATAGGATCAAATAACATCAATTAATAACCTAAAAGCTCATGCTAGGTGGTTCAAACTCAATGAATTGTCAGGTAAATCACCATTTGTGAGATCTTAGTAAAGACAGACCTTGTCGGCCAACATGGTTTTGGCGGCGTCACTCATGACGATCTTGGCATCGCTGGTCTTCTGGCGGTTAATGAAGACGATTCCTCCCAGCCAGCAAATCATGCCCACTGTCCCAGCCCATATCAGCTCCTTCTTAGCGATCATCGTGCAGCGGTCTGGCAGGATCTCCATCATGCCTGCAGAGAGGAGGAGAGAATCAGCACAGAAAGACTGGCTGCACAAGTATGATCATGTGACATCTGGGTGTGCTCGTAGAAAACACTGAATACATGCAGGTCTGGTCATGCTGGCAGGAGCTTTCTTGCCAGATTGTGATCCTAACCATGTTTTAATAGGTTAAAGTGGTAATAATAGCAATACCGAGCACACTGAGTGTTGATTGGTTGTGTTTTTTCGTTCACCTAGCACATCGAGTGATGACTGGTGGTTGGAGATGATGACGTAGGGTCTGTCTGTCTGTAGATGTTCCCAACCGCTGACCTGATAGCGCAGACCAAGGAAGTACTTCACATGGCTAACCAAGAACCGGATGACCCTACAGAAAGCAAAAAGACATTTAAATCCAGAACATGACCAATAACAGTCATTCAAGTAATCCGTTTTCACAAATATGGCTTCTAGACCGATTTCAATGCAAGTCTATGGGACTTTTCCAGTTTTATCTAGGGGTGTAATGGTTCGGTACGAACTTGCACCGCGGTTCAACTTAAATCTGACAATCTCTGTAATATGGCTTGTTAAAAATAACAACACATAAAACAGACAGAGTTCGGCTAATGTATGTTTCTGTCGATGGATACGCATTCTGGCTTCCCAATACATTACAACAACAGCGATGAACAAAAAACGTGGACGAACCAGTCACTCTTTGTAAACTTTGTTCAATGCGAGTGCCGAATAATCGAATATGACGAGTCATTTATGCCGTTGATAAAATTCAAACTATACTCAACCCTATCAGTCACTAGGGCTGTCGAAAAAAAATAGAATTTCGAATATTTGTCGAATTTAAAATAAAAATCCACATTCGAATGCAAAAACGT